CCCTCCTTCCCTCCGTTTTTTTTTTATACTGTGGATTAAATCTAGGACCTGGAATTTGCTGGGCATTGCTCCCCAACAGAGCTATGTCCTCACCTCTCCTTTTACTTTTTATTTTGAGGCAAGTCACTAAGCAATTCAGGCCAACTTTGAATTCACACTGACTTGGAACTTGTGACCCTCCAACTTTAGGTTCCTAAGTAGCTGAGATTAAAAGGAGTGATCCATCCTGCCCAGGAAGTGTTTTTATCATCAAGTAGGTTGATGGACTATATTGGAGTTTTCCCAGGTTAAGTAGACTGCTGCTCCCCTATGGTTGACCTTACATATCATTAGATAACTTTTCTGCACCCTTCAAAAGGTCACTGTGCTTTGTAAAGGTGATGATTTATGTTGATTTGATTGGAATGATAAGCCAATTTTTGTTTCTGAGATTTTCTTTGTAAGGAATAAGAAAGATTGTCCCTAAGAAGGGGTAGCCTTAAGTTGCATACTTTGGGGCTTATTTAAAAGCAGCTTTGCTCCCTTGTGAGTGTGTACCTCATATAATTTGAGAAGTGTGCTTATCTGGATTCGTGGTCCTGCAGTGGAAACCAGTTCCAGCTGCCTCCAGGGCTGAATAAGTTGGTTATAAAATACCACTTTTCAATCATTTTGTATGTGCACATGCTTGTGTGTATGTATGCATATTCATATAGAGACCCAGTGACAACTTTGGGGGCTATCCCTTAGTCACCATCCACTTATTTTTTTTTTTTTTTTTTTTTTTTGAGACAGGTCTCTCAGTGGCCTGGAATTGGCTGGCCTGCAAGCCCCTAGGATCTTCCTGTTTCCCCTTCCCCAAATTAGCCAGCTGGGCTTCCTTCCTTCCTTCCTTCCTTCCTTCCTTCCTTCCTTCCTTCCTTCTTCCCTCCTTCCCTCCTTCCCTCCTTCCCTCCTTCCCTCCTTCCCTCAGGTCTTCATGCTTATAAGACTAGCCTTCTGACCTGCTTCCTACATTCTTTCTTCTGCTAGTTTCCTTTTGCAGCTAAAACATACCTCACAAATTTTGGGCCTTAAAACAACATCCATTGATCATTGTCCCTAGCGCTGGAGATCTGAAGCCTCAGAACCCAGGCCCACACAGGGCCATCCGTGGTCTACAAAGGCTGTGGGGAGCATGTGCCCCATGACCTCAGCGTGTTGGACCATCTGAATCTTGTCTCCTCCATCCTGGACTGTTCCTCCTGCCTTCCTCTCATAAGGGTCTTTTTGGTAGCCTATACTCATTATGTGATCCAGAATTAACCCAATGTGAAGATCCTAAACTTGATCACAACTGCAGTGGCCTCTTTGGTTGGGAACAGGCACACAGAGTTCTGGGAGTTAAGATGGCGATGTCTTTGGAGAGTCATTGTTTGATCTACCATATTCCGTGGTCAGATATTCTTATATTGTTGAGTGTTTTAGTTTACTATAACCTTTGGGTTTTTCAGTCACATCAATTTCCATGGAGGGTTGGTGCCAGTGCTGTGGTCCTGCCTCTGGTGACTTGGGGCATGTGCTCACTCCTAGGGCTGTGAGCAAATATGAGTGTGGGTTTGTAGGCTCATTTCTAAGTTAAATGTATGCTTTTGGGTTTTGCGTATGAGTGTCTCATCTTGCTTTTCACTGCTTCTGGATAGGTAGGGTTCTTTGAGGGGAAACACTAAGAAAAAAATTCTGTGTATCCATTTTCATGTTCACACATGCCCAGATGTATTTACACTCAATGTGTTCATTTTATTTCATTCTTAGTACGTCTACCTTGTTTTTTCCGGATCTCTAACTGAGTAGACATGCTAGAAGGGGTACTGTTAATGGTGGTGGTAAAAGCATTTATGGTTCCTAAAGGCCTAAGAATATGGCGGTGCTGCCTTGGGGGGAAGCTCGGGCGTCTGCTTTGGGCTGCTTTACCTGATGCAGTTATCGACTGCTAAAGAGTCACTATAAAATGCCAAATAAACTTAATAACTGGTAACAACCTACTTTGTCGGTTGGGGACACTTACATTTTATGAATTTGGGTGGAATACTTGAGCAAATGGAGTTTCCTAGGTATGTGTGGGTTTTGATACTCTGAGATGTTGTGAAGCTGTGCAAGTGCTTTTGCTTTGCCCTTTTTTAGGAAGAACTCCAAGCTGAGAAGTGTTCTTTGCAGCAAAAGCAAATCACCTCCCAGTACAATGAATACTTCAGTGTCAGGAAGGCTCACTGTGGGCCAGGTGATGCTACAGTGTCAGTCACAGCCTCAGCTGTGAGCTGGACACACCTGGAAAAGGGAGCCTCTGTTGAGGAATTGCCTCCATCTAAATGGCTTGAGGGCATGTCTTTGGGGGCATTTTTTTGATTGCTATTGATGTGGAAGGGCCTATCCTGTATCCTGTCCTACCTACCTTGGGATCCCACTGTAGGCAGGACCATCCCTAGGCAGCGGGGTAGTGAACATGTGGCTGGGAGCAAACCAGTAAGCAATGCTTCTTCATGGTTGCCGTTCCAATTCCTACCTCTGGGTTCCCACCTTGAGCTTCTGCTCTGGCTTCCCTGCAATGTGTAACTAAAATAAACACTTTCCTACATACAATGCTTTTGGTCAATGTCTTATCACAGCAACAGAAGAGCAAACTAAGGCAGGGGCTACAGCTTGGTGTATCCTGGGAGCTCTGTGAATACAAGGCCAGCCTGGGCTGTTTGTCTTGAACTCCCCATCTCCATAAAAAAAGACATACTCTTTCCCTTTTGTGTCTGGAAGGAAAGGCTGTCCATGTGAGAAAGAGTATCAGAGATGACACAGGATAAGACTGAATATATCATAATGTTGGAAGTAATCACTACTACCTGTGCTAATGTGTTTTCTCACCTCTTTCTTCTTCAACAGCTTTTTATAACTATGATGCTAGGGGAGCAGATGAACTGTCCCTACAAATAGGAGACACTGTGCACATCCTAGAAACTTACGAAGGTGAGTGTGGGCTAATGTTTCTTGTCTGGGGAGTTGGATGCTTCAAGGCTTCCTCAAGCAAAGCCTTTCCCTGTAAGGGTGCTCTGGTCTCAGGATGCTTTTCCCACAGATAATTGCAAAGGTGGTAGGTGGGGCAGCTATTTGTTAAATTAAATGGGGTTTTATTAAGCTCAACTTAAAACTAAACATTATATTTTAACCCCTAATTGCTTCTCACTGGCTCATTATTTTGCAAATGTGTGTAAAAACTGACCCCTTGGCGAGAAACAGATTTGTGGCATTTCGGTTTGTTGATTCAATGTGTGTACTGAATGTTTTGATGTGTGTACTGAATGTTTTGAGTTGTCATTTCATTTTTTTTTTTTTTTTATGAAGTTTCACTTTAACTTCTTAACAGCATGTCTCAGGGGAAACTGCAATTGCCATGCTTTGTTTGTTGCCCTTTTTCATTGTCTGTGACCCCATTTTCTTTGGGGTGAACAGATCACTGGTTCTATGGGATACGGTTTAAGGGAAGCAATTGTTGTGGCTTTTCTGGTGCCCTAGGTTTTTGCAGTAGGCTTTCATAGTTAGTGCCTTACACATGGATGCTCTACTGTGGTTATAACTGTGTGCAGGGGCAGCAGAGGCGGTGTCTGCTTGCTTTTTCCCTTCTCTTTCTTTCTTCAGGCATTGTTCTCACCTCAGACTCTCCATAAGACTGTTTTTGTGCTGTTGGCTTTCTTTTCTGCCTGAAAAGATGATTCCTAAACCATGTTTCAGTCACAGGAACTGATTTAAATAACCAAATTGCTTTTAGATCAGGTTCAGCGAAAGTCTTGCAAGTGGGAAAGGAAGTTGTAGACATCTCTTAGTAACTAACAAATTGAACTTCCAGAGAGGTCTTCACACTCCACCTTGCACAGGAGTGAGCTGCACTCTGTTCCTGCCAGCCAGGCAAGTGGGGACTGGCTCCTATGCCCCTCAGAGACATTGCAGAGAAGCAGAACCCTATTAAAAATCCATGTCATGGCCCTTATTTCTCCATCTGATGCAGGAAGACGTGGAACTCTATTCTATTTGCACCATTTACTCTTAAAAATGTATTGTGGTGGGGGTGGTAGGAGCCAGCTTTATTGGCATATGCCTGGAAGCAGCTGTAGCTTGGCAAAAAGGAGCCCTTAAGCGAATGAGTGGCTGGCTGTGATGGGCGCCGTCTGCTTGTTTTCAGTTTTGACAGCTGACAGTTGGATTTCCTTATCTGCTCTCAGTACATATTGCCAGTGGCTTCGAGGAAACAGAGAGAGAAATTAAGTCGAGGTGAAGGATCAGGCATCTCATCTCAGATGCTTTTCTGATCTTCAGGGAAATGCTCTCTCTGATTTTTGTTTTTGTTTTTTAATTGCCCCAGTCACTTGAATGTGGAATTCCTGGGTCATCAATTCTGAGCAGTGGTGTCTCTCCAGAATTGTTAATGATTTCCTGGGGTGTCTGGGTGTGCAGAGACTGTGTGCCATTCTTTACTTCAGGAGGAGACTGTCTCCTTTCAGCAGTGCCATCCTGAGCCACATCAGCGGGCCTTGTTATACACTAACTTCAAAATAATCTGCTAGTGGCTTTGACTTCCAGGCTGACATCATGATGAGTCTTCAGCCAGGGTTGATTTGCAGGCTGGTTTTGGTTCACATTTATCCACTTTACAAAAGACTTTTGAACATAAAATGCATTCCCTTCCTGGAAATCTTGGTAGGCTTTCTTGGTAGGCTGTGGTCTGAGGAATACATTAAATGCATCTTCCGGAAACTGGGTGACTTTGTCATCAAACGAGGACACTGCTTGGGATGCTTCCCTGGGTCTGCCTGTGCATTGGTTTTGCCTTATGGCATGGCATGGAGTTTGGCTTTGTTTCTACCTCTCTCTCTCTCTCTCTCTCTCTCTCCCTGTCTCCTTCTTCTCCTTCTCTTTCTCTTCTGTTTATCATCAACCTTGATTTTCTTTTTGATACAGGATATCATCATATAGGATGCTGCAAAAGTTGTGACTTCTAAATGATCACTTGGTCTCCCTATGCCCCAAGGTGGGCTGGATTGTTCCTCCTTTTTCTCCTTTTAAGATGATTATTAGTCTTCATTACACACAGGTCAAAGACCACACTTAACCTTTAAGTTCTGGTTAATTGCTCTGTAAGGCTTATTGAGGTGGAGGTTGTCCAACTGCAGCCCTTAGGCCACATATGCAGCTGAGGATAGCAACAAGTGCAGCCCAACATAAAAACCATAAACTTAGTTAAAACATTATGAGATTTCTTTTCTTTTTCTTTTTCTTTTTCTTTTCCAATGCACCTCTCAGCATGAACAACAGTATTTTTAAAAGGTTGGCTAGGCCTGATACAGCCAAGTAAGATACCTACCTTCAAGTCATATCACTGTGGAGGCGGGCAGACCTTCCAATGGCTACTCAATGCAGACTTTTGCCTTTAAGTCATGTCCATTGTTGAGGTCAACCAATCACATGTGAACACAAGTCCCATGTGCTTAGGGAGTGACTCTGGTGCTGTGTTTCCCAGTGCTGGATGCCATTCCAGGGGAAGCTGGAAGCGTTGTGAAATAGTTAGGAAATTATCTTTTGGATGTAGCTATCACAACTAAACCTGATTAATTTAGATTTTTTAAGTGATAATGATATATTTTCTCCCAAAATGGTTGGCCAACTTCCTGTGCTGGCCTGTGGCCTCTCTGAGCATGTTTTTTCTAGTGGGTGTCTCATTTTGATATGGGTGGGTTACATGGAGGCCAACAAGCATACCCTGCCTGGGAGAAGTGTATTATCTTCTAGCCAAGCCTCCTCTCATAGTCATTTTGTCACAAACTTTCATTCCCATGGTGACACCCTCCTCTTCACACTCTGTGTGGCTCAGCCCTGCTTGTCTTAGGTGCCTTGTGGGTCATGAGCAAAGGCTATGTCTGTAATTGGTGTGTGTAGAAAGGTTCTGGTGACAAGTGAATGGGCCCTGCTTGATGAAGCAATAATTCTTGCAGAACATGCCAGGAAGCAGTTAGCTTAGAAATCCCATTACCAAAGAGACTGCCAGCTAACTATGCTAAGTTAGAGATTCCTCCTCTGACCTCCATAGCTCAGTCCCTCCAAACAATCCCCCCCCCAAAAAAAAACCTCTCCTCTTTTCATGTGCCTGTGTTCTTTCCCTATGTGTTGTATATGTTTTATGGTAGGAGAGTGTTAAAGCTCTCCTGTGTCTCACTGGCTCCTCTTTATGATGTTTTGCTCTTTTGTCTGAGGATCTTTAGTCTTAGGCCCTGTCTGCCATGTGAGAATTGTCTCATGTTCTGTAAACAGTAACAGCACTCAGCTGGTCTCAACTCCCATCTCCAGGTTCCTGCTGTCAGGAGCATCTTGTGTCTGTCCAGCTGTTCAGAGTCACACCTGTCTTTAGGCTGTTTCCATAGGACAGGTCGCTGGTGTTGGGTATGGTGTTCATGTCTCTTTGGGGTGGTGGTGGGGGTGGTGGTGCTTAGGGTGGTGGAGTCTGATGTGTTCGCCAGCAGCTGTTGTCTTCATTCTTTTCTATGCCAGGCTGCCATGTCCTGAATTCCTTTTATTTTGGGTCAGCTGTAGGAGGTTGTTGAGTTTTCTCTTCATTGATTAGTAATAAGTTTGGGTTCTCTTCACACGTGTGTAGGTTCTTGGGTTTCTTAGATGCATCATTTATGTAGTTTGTTCCTTTTTTCCATTTGGTTGCTGACAATCCCCACCCCTAACTCCATGGCCTTTTTTTGATATTCTAGAACATCAATCTGTTGTCACTTTCAGGGAAAAAAGGGGCATACTAATGCTGAATGAATGGGAAGGACATAGCAGTAGTCTAAAGGACAGTCCTTTTAGACTGAGTGGTACAGCCTTTGGAAAGCTCATTAGATTACAGTACCATTTCCTGGAGTCTGTAATGTTGTAACATGTAGGCACTGATTGTAGGATAGTCTAGCTCTGAACAGACAGTGACTATTTGGACATCATTCTTCAGATGTGTGACATGTGAACACTTGGCATGCTGTGTCTCGACTCTGTGTTTGGTCCTCACATTGAAAGAGCAGAGTTGGTTCATTTGGCCCTAACTGGGTCTTATATCCTTCCAAGATTCCTGGAGTTCCTGTCCCCCTTTCTGAATATATCTATTTAATTACCACTTGAAGGATTTGTTCAAGTCAACAGCATTACTTCTGGTTCATAGTCACTCTCTGCATTACTACTTTTTGAAGAGGGTTGAGGGACCCACTGCTGCCCTGTGATGTCATTCCTTCACCCCCCTCCAAGAGCTTGCTCTTGTGGCTCTCTTTAGTTGCTGGGGTCTGGTGCCCAAGAATGCATAAAACCCCATGTGGTTGACTCTCTCAGAATTTACCCAGCTCACCTCCAAATGCCTCCTGATGCTCTGCAGGGTCCATTTGTTCCCGTGGGAAAGTATTATGGGATGTCTTTGAGCTTGTGAGTTGCTTTCTGGAAGTAAGGTGACCAGGACCAGTCTTATACTTTGTAAGAAAATATCTATCTGATTTCTTGACCTGGTGGGATTGTGGAGTGACAGGTTCATGGACCTCTTGGCATCTTTAAGGATGAGTGTTTTGCAGTTAACCTTGCTGGGAGGGAGCATGGGTAGTGTCTGGTCTACTGTGGAGGACTCTACTATTCAGCACTTGATGTGTATGAACAGTTGGAGTGTCTTTCCTTCCACTGTCTACTTTCCTTTTCATGTCACATGGAGGGGATAGGAAGTTGGAGCCAGGCCAACCCCTAAGAGGGCAGGGGTTGTGAGTGCTTGGCCCTGCTGCTTCCCTGAGAGCTGTCTTTGCCACAGAAGTACTTTGTGAAGATTATGGCTGCCTCAGGGCAGAGCCTTGCAGAGGGAGGAAGTAGGCCCTCAATAGGCTTTCTGTTGGGCAGCCTTTGATGATCTGAGATTCTGGAAGTTGCACTTGGAGAGATCTTGAGCCAGATCTGCAGAGGCAAGGGCACAAGGAACCTGCAGACACAAGGAACCTGCTGGGAACAAGGCTTCTTTTAGGCTTTAGCTTCAGATTGTTGCTGGGAGAACAGATAGGCAGGCAGAGAAGTGGGGAGGTGCAGGGAGGGAGGCATGTCCTGTGGGACTTCGCTAAGGCTTTAGAATGGTTATCTTTCCCTGGGGTGGTGACTTCTGCATACCTTGAAGGTTTTGCTTGGATCCTTCAGCATCCTGTGTATTAACTGTTTAAATTCTGTGTTTGTTTAGGGTGGTACAGAGGCTACACCTTAAGGAAAAAGTCTAAGAAGGTAAGTTCGTCCATTAAACATGTCTCATCATAAATTAAACTGTGAGAGAAAATCATTTCCGTCTTATTTGTGTCTAAGTATGTTATCTGTTTCTTGCAATTTAACATACATGGGCTGAGGGGAAAAAACAAAACAAAACAAAACACTGACCATGAGTTGGCTTCTTCTGAATAATGTATGTCTATAGAAATTGCAGCTTCAGCCGGGAATGATGTTGCATATCTATAACCTCACTACTAGGCTAGCCTGGTCTATGTGGTGAGACCCTGTCCCCACAAATGACATTTCAGCTAGGTGGTTAGTTCCAGGTGTTAAGCTGTGGTGTGACATTGGCCTCTACTTGTGAAAGGGAGAATTCTTTTTGGCCTGATAGAACTTTGCATCTCACTGAACCACTGTGTGTAGCCACGAATGGAGTGTAATGACATCAGAAAACTAAAATGCTGCAAAAAGTTTTCAGCTTCATATTATCTTTGATAAATTAGCTAGTTTGCAAAGCTCACACATGGCTATTACCCTTTTGCCTCATGGCAGTTTTCAGACTGGCTTAGTCAAGTTGAAAAAGCCCAAGTTTCTAGGGTGATTTGCATGTGTGAGTCTATGCATATCTGAAACAAAAACATACTATTTACTCCTCAGATATTGTGGAGGGCACTCCCATCCACAAGGCTGTGTGGCTTTGACATTCTTAGCTTCACAAAACCTAATTATGGCTCATCTCTCTTACTCTGTAATGCTACACTGTTGCAGTAATGTCCATGCTAAGCTGTGGTTAGTCTGTCCATGTTAACTTGGAAGTTTTAATATCTGATTGGGTTTGACATATGGTTCACTTTGCTTCCCAGAATTGGCCTCTCATTACTGTTGTATCCAACTGGACTCTCTGTTGTGATCTTGAGTCTGTAACAGGGCTTTGGAAGCTCAGTGGTTTCTGTGCTAGGGCCTCCCTGCTCTGTATCCTCAGAGGCCTGGGCTGGCCTTTGCTAGCCTGGCTAGAGCACCAGGAAGGCTGTAAAACTACCTATCCCTTTTTTATCAGTTTCACCCAGGGAAGGGTGCAGGTTGGGGGAAGCCATGGTTGATGATTTCAGGAGGCAAGAGATGAGCAGTGTTATGGTTTCTCAGTGGTAATGTGCTTGCCCCTGAGGACCAGAGTTCTATCTCTAGCATCAATGTTTAAAGCCTCAAAATTTGGGTGGTGGCACATGCTTGTAACTGTAGTACTGGGAAGGCAGAAACAGAACTTTAGCTGGAGCTCATTGGCCAGCCAGACTTGTCTAATTGGTGAGCTTGAGGCAGTAGTGAGAGCCCTTGTCTCAAAAAACAAGGTGGATGGCTCTGAGGACAGCACCTGAAGTTGACCTTCATATGCATAGATACCCACCCCTTTATTACATATGACAAAGCTGCACTGCTGTGATGAGCACATGCCCAGGAAGGCCACTCAGTTTCCTTGCTGCTTATTTGTTGTCTGGCAACCCCATCCCCATCTTGGGCTCTCTCCCATTCTTCTAGTGCTTTAGAACCTCAAAATTTTCTGCCTGGCCCCAGGATACCCAGGTCTTCCACCTCTTGATGCCCTAATGTTGCAAAAAGGTGTGGTTGTTTTCCACCTAAGATCCCCATTGGTGGATGAGGAAATCAGAGCCTTGCAGAGGCTGTACTTTGATTGCAGTTTTGTGAGGTGTCCCCAAGCCAAAGGAGAGAAGCAAGGCTCTTAGGTGTCTTGGCCAAGAGCCCTGTAAGAGCATCATCTGTCTAGATATTTACAGAAGTTGGGCTGGGCTGTTGCTTATTTCAAACCCCCATCTTATTTAGCCATAATCCCTCTTTGGGCTTCATGATATTGAGTCCAGAGATGAGGGCTTTCTGTCTGTGGACTTGAAAGGCTGGGGTGGCTTGTGTGTTGTCTTACCCCCATCCAAACCCACACCTATTGGTAATACAGAGAAATTGCATGTTCTGTGTGCACCTACAGACCATTGTGGGATGTGAAAGTGTCTTGGTACCTGGGTCCTGGATTGAGTAACCTGGACCTCTTGGTTGCTCAACCTTGACTTCCCCCTTGACTCCTTCCCTTGATATAATAGTATTTCTGTGTGTGATATCTGGTTACTTTGCTGTGGACAGGAGAAGCAGAGATCAGCAGTACCTGCTAGCCACACTCAGCCCTCTTTGAGTCCCATTTCCTTCCAAGCATGATTGGCAGCTTGCTTTCTGGATGTCTACTGTAGACCCTTCTTGGCAGATATCTGGGAAATCCAATCAGAAGCTCCTCTTTCCACAATAGGTACCTTGAAATACCACAGCACTTACTGAATTTCTGCAATGTACACTAGTGGTCTTTAGTGTACTGACCCAAGCCTCTGGGAGTCACTGGTTTGTGCTGCCCTGGACCCCATGAACCAGATTTTGATAAACTCCTGGCTGATGCTGAAGTTCTTCTCAAGGAAACATCTCCTTTGCACAGAACTCTGCTAGGCCACACATCTATACATACACACATGCTTACACTGTACATGGGAGAGTCACAGGATGGTAGAAACATAATCTAGCATGTTTCCCTAGCACTTCTGCAGTTGGGTTGAATTTCCCCCCTTCTTCCAGCTTTTACCATTGTCCACTCCATATGGAGACTGATCAGCCTGTGACTGTCACTCAGTGATCAGTGGACAAGTGGCAATCAATGGTTTAAATCAACTTTTGATGGCAGTCTTGTCATTTTGTAAGGGGAACTTGTTCAGATCCCATCACCAGAATTGGTTTCTGGCAACAGACTTACTTGTTGGGTGTATCAGTGCCAAGGTCAGTAGTAGGGAGGTGGGGCAACCTATGAAGGAGAATATTTTCCTGGGCCTTTGTGAGATGGTTGCTTTGCAAACACGTTGTGTCTGTATTATGCGAAGACATCTGTGCAATCTGAAATACAAGCTGATTGGGACATTCTTTTCTGTGCTTCGTGTTTTCTTCGTTGTGTTGTATGTGATGCTTACACTTGCAAAATTAATGGTGAACCAACCCCCTATACCCTCATGTTTTGGGGCTATTGTTTGATTTGCAGTCAGTATTCCCATTGATAATAAAAACTCTCTTTCCCTCTCAAAGGGTATATTTCCTGCTTCATATATCCATCTTAAAGAAGCAATTGTTGAAGGAAAAGGGTGAGTCTTGTCTTGATCTTTAAATGAAGTTTAAAAATGATTATTGCTACTGAATATGTGGTAGACTAAGTTGGGGGGTTTAAGTTTAAGTAGGGCTGGAGAGATGGCTTATTGGTTAAGGGCATGGACTGTTTTCTAGTACCATGTCTGGTGGCTCACAACTACCTGTAACTCTAGAAAGGACTCTTGTATTCATGTACACACAGCTCCCGTGTGTGTGTGTGTGTGTGTGTGTGTGTGTGTGTGTGTGTTTGTAATAGCTGTGTTTGACCATGATGGTTTAGGAGAATAAAGGGACTTGGGATCCACTCATGTTTGTCTTTGACCCATTGAAGAGTCCAAGGCCATTGCCTTAGTTGTAGTCATTTCTTTGAAACTTCAGTCCCTTAAGGGACGTGTGGTCCTCCTCTATGAGTTACCCCATTAGGCAGTGGCCACCCTGGATGCCTAGCTGAATCTTTTCTGAGTCTTTTTTTCCTGGAAATCTTAGCAGGGTGTGATACAGAGTTGAGTGGGAATGATCGGTTGTTAAATTGGGACCATGTGAATTCACGTGTCAGCTAATTGAGGTGTGTAACTCCTGGAGTTCACCAGACTGATGGGTAAGGTCCTGAAAAGGACATTCCTAGAACAGGAACCCGGGCCAGGTGTGAACTGGGGGAGACAACATTCAAATGTTTTCTTTTTTGGTCTCTGCTTCATCTTCACACTCTGTTAAATATGTAAATTATAAAATTACTAATCATATGATTACTGCATAATGACATCTCTTTGGCTGATTACAAAATTGCCTTTCTGAGCACTGTACTTTTAACATATGAAAAGGATGGCTTGGGTTCCTGCACTTCCCGGGTGCATAATTACAGTGAAGGGAATAATTTAGAGGCATGGATGGTGCTGACCTGCAAGATGGTATTCGTTCAGACACATAAAATGTTTTGTATGCAAAATTCTAAAAAGGAAGACAAACTTGAGGAAGTTTAAGCTTACCACAGAAGTAACTGAAGTATATATGTGATGTGCTTCTGCCTGCCGGGGTCAAAATCCATATGTAAGTTGGCTTGTATAGGAGTAATAATTTTCAAAAGCTTTTTGAAGTATATGAAAAAGTGTGTGTGTGTGTGTGTGTGTGTGTGTGTGTGTGTGTGTGTGTGTGTGTGTGTTTCTACATACATATCTATTCAGCAGCATATTATTATGGGAATGTGGAATTACCTGGATTCTTCCAGCAGGTAGATAAGGCTCATTCATCTTCTGGGATCAAGTTGCGGTGTGGAAAGCACCAAGTACAGTGTGAGATGAGCAATGCACACATGTTCTGATGGTGCTTTTGACTGTCAGCCTTTGTTCCCCACACTCCTTTCCTGGCTCTGACCTTTGCTTCCACTGTATCGGGCTGCCTGCCCAGCTTTACCCGCCCCCTATGATTTTTCTGCTGGAGGACCTGACAGGTGACTACTGGCCCTTAGTTTCTTCTGGCTACCTGCAGACATCTGCTCTCTTCTCTGCTGGTCCTTCCTCTTGTCCAGTGCTGACTCCACCACTCCTTCACCTCACTCCACCTGCCATTATTTTCAGGGTTATATTATATTGTATTCATTCATACATTCATATTCACACACACACACACACACACACACACACACACACACACATCTGTATTACCTGCTCTTTCTCCCATGATTTTTTTTTTCTTTTGTGTCCTCTCTCTTCCATGTCTTCTCCCTTGTCTGGCCTCTTTCTTCTTTTAGAATCCTGGCCACCATCCCCTCTTCATGTTTGTTTCATGCCTGTGTCTATAATATTGTGCTTTTTATATTTTATCATAACAAAGCAATCCCTATTTGTCCCCTCCTCTTTGCTGATACAGCATTACTTGCAACAACGGCTACTATTAGTCACTATCTTCCCTGAAGCCCCCTGTGGGCACCGAGGCCCTTATGTCCTTCCTCACCTGCCCCCTCACATACTACTTTCAGGGCTAGGGTATTTCTGTTGGGCCCCTCCCTTGTGACATGGCCTGTTTCTCCCGAATCTTGAGCTGGTCTCTCCCTGTAGATATTGCTAGAATCTGGGCCTCTGACCTTGATCTTTCTTTGGACCTGTGGTTGGTTCACTTGGACAGTGGTTAGTGACCTAATGGTCTCCGGTCAGGAGTGGTGTTACAAGCCTCCTAATTGGGAGGTAGAGGCAGGAGGGTCAGGAGTTCATGTCCTGGCTACATGGCTTACATGCCACCCTATCTCAACCCTAGTCCACCTCCCATCCTCTTCCTCCTCCCTAAAAAACAGAGTCACTGTTTCTGGCTCATGGCTTGCTCTTCCCCATTTAGTCTTTTAAGGAATTATTTTAAATAAAAAATGGTGTGCATTTATGGTGTCTAATGTGGTATTTTGAAGCACACACACGTTGCAGAGTGGCAGTTTGGGCTAGTTCACACAAGGTAGTTATGAGAAGCTGCCTTCTAGTCAATAATCATCTGTGGTGAGAACACTTGAAGTGCATGCTCCTAGCCATGTTTAAGTGCAGAGTGTATTCTTAGTGACGCCAGTCACCATGCGGGACAGCACGACTCTTGGATTCATTCTCTCTGTTTAATGATGTGTCCTTTCTCCAGCATGTGTCCCTTCCTGCTGATGCACACAGCCAGGACTCATTCCTGCGTCCTCACAGTGGATAGGCAGGTGCTGTTGGGATAGCACCTTTCTGAACCTCTTACTTCCTGGCCTTGTGACTCCCTCAGCCTTAATTGATGCTCAGTTGGGACTCCTTCCCTCCATCTGATGGTCTTGTCCACAGCTTAGAAAGCAGGCATTGTTGTCTGTGCCTTCCTAAAACCACATACGAATGATGTGGTTTTTAAAAACCAGGGGAATAAATACGACAAAATAATGCATATGTTGATAAAGAGTTAAAGCCAAGTCAAGGCTAAATCTTCTGGGGTAGAAGGAAAAGGTCAGTCTTGGGTGGGACTGGAGAGAGTCTTGGTGAACAATTGAAAGCTGTAATCTTGCTCACATCTCAGCAAGGATAATTACTACCTGTATCATCATATAATGAGTTGTATACTTTATAGAAAGGTTAAAATAACCTTAACTCATACCTGCATTTTAACGGCACACACTGACTGGGTGTGGTTTATGGTACTCTGAGATAGATGGGTGTACACTTTTCCTGAATATACTTTCCACTTTTCAGTTCTTGGCCTGCTGAAGACTTTCTGTGGCTAGTCTTTCTCTTCTTCATCTTACCTCACTATACAAGTTTCATGACTTACAGGCAGGGTAACATGTAGATGCTCCCATGTTCTGTACAAAGAACTTGTCATTCATTGGTGTGTCTGTTCACATGTGTGAACATAATTATGTTCGTTTCTTTTCCCCATTTGTTTAACCATTGAGCTCTCCAGCCTCTTTAGGGACTCAGTCAGGTGCAGCTCCCAATAAAGCCACAGAATCAGCTACTCTCTCCCTCTTTCATCCCAGGCAACATGAAACTGTCATCCCAGGGGACCTCCCCCTCATACAGGAAGTCACCACAACCCTGCGAGAGTGGTCCACCATCTGGAGGCAACTTTATGTGGTAAGATGGGATGCTCGGTTAAAGCTTAAGCATAGAGATTGTGTTTCTGGTCCTTGTACCAACACATAGTTTTCCCTCCTTGGGAACCCAGAGAGTAGAGCCCCTGTGGTAGGGTCTTGCTTCTCAAGGAGAGAGCAAGCACTGTGATCATTGTACTAGCTACTGTTGGGGACCCTATGGCCTTGACCTCTGTTGTATTCAGATGCAGTTTACTCACTGTATTGTGTAAACTGAACTAAAATGGAAGCTGGCCTTGGATCTGTTTTGGGTTGTGTGGAGCAAGGGGATTATAGTTGCTGTCAGGCCTTTGAAGGAGGGGACCAGGTTGATGTCACCTCTGAGTGTATATTTTGATCAGGAAAACTAAAATCTACTTTTGCACGGAAATCACTTAGCTTTGAAGACTTAGTAGAGGGTGACTACTAATCATTTTATTTTTGTCACTGACTACCTGTAAATGATAGGTCTTATGGTCCGAGGAATATGATAGTCTTGATGTATCGTGTCCGAGGTGAAGCAGGGAACATTTCAAATTCTGGCTCTGTGAGCAGTTGTCCGGTTCTTATTAATGCAGAGATGTCAGAGCTCTGACATCTTGCATTTCATTTTCCCTCGGGGCATTTCTTTGCACATAAATCCATATTTGCCAAAGATTACCTTTTGTTAAGCCCTTATTTCTATTCAGAGTGTTGATTTCTCATATGCTAATGTTATTATCACCGAGCAAGGGCCCTGGAAGGAAGTCACTGCGTTCATTTCTCGGGAACATAGAAAACTTCCTAAAGTCTCCACAGCTGTTCGCTGGGCAGGCTTGTTTTTGATTATACAGTGGTTTCCTATAAATGCTCAGTAATAAGCACTTGTGGTAATTGTTCATCAAACGTACTCACAAACCTAAAAGCGTGAAGTTAGCCATGAATGTTTTGTGTAAATCTGAGCAATTTCATAGTGGGTATTTCATATTCAACTTAGCAATTTTTAAACAAAATTATGATCACACAACAAACAGGAGTTGCCGTGGACTAATATGTGAGTGGACAGCATTGGTCTCCTAGTCTTGGAATCAGCATCCTGAACCATCACCTGTTTTCTTCTACAAACGGCAAATTCACCTCTAATGGGTTTATGTTGTTAAATTTGTGCAAAGTCAAGTCAATGGTGGTGCTAAAAATTTAGATACATTCTTCTAGTTTTCTCTGGCTGTAGACCTGTCAGCAAGGCAGGTATGTATTTTACATGTTGTTAGAGAGATGGGAGGGAGTGGAGGGCTAGTGAGATGAAAAGAGACATGTTTTGCACTAAATTCGAATCTCTTTTGGCTTTCATTTAAGGAATAAAAATCAGGAGCCTGGCATTGTGTCATGCACTTGGAAGGTGGAGGCAGGGAGATTAAGAGATTGTGGTGGAAGTCTCTGCTCTTTTCCACTTTTGTAGTTCTTGGCACATTGTCAGGTCTCAATAAATATTTGTTGAATAAATTAAAAAATATAGTTTAAGGATAAGGCTAGCCTAGGCTATATGAGACCCTGTCTCAAAACAACAACAAATAAAAACAAGGGAAAAGAAGGAAAGATAAAGGAAGGAACTAGAACTAGAGTAATATTATAAAAACAGCTTGGAGAGGTGGCTCAGCAGTTAAGAGCACTTGGTCTTTTTCTAGAGGACCAGAATTTGATTTCTAGCACTCCTGTCAGCAGTTCATAACTCGAACTCCAGGGGGTCAGATATCCTCTACTATACTCTGTGCACCTCTCTCTCTCTCTCTCTCTCTCTCTCTCTCTCTCTCTCTCTCTCTCTCTCTCTCTCGCTCTCTCTCTCTC